GTCTAAAACACTAAGTATACTTCAATATTGTTTAGCAATATTTATTCTGCTTCAATTTAATATCATTGAAAAGGTTTATTTAGTCTTTTGAGTGTATGGAGTGTAGGAAACGGAGTAGAACCACATTACAAAATACTATATTATTTTTTGGAGGGCACAGATCTATTCTCGAAGTAGATAGTTTGTCTGTGTGTAGAATGATTTAAAGTGTTCTTAAACATACATTATGCAAGAGCTAAATCTACCTATTGCAGGTCTTTCTTTAGGCCTGAAATGTTATATAAACTATTAATTAGACATTTATTAACAAAACAAGACCATAATCAACCCTTGATGGCATCAGATACTCAAGATTTTAACTAGATTAGAACGGTTTGTCATTTAAAAATTTAATTTAAAAATGGGAAAGTGAGGCTAAGTAACGGATATACCAGTGCCCTGGTTACCACTATGCACACATCTTGTCAAAGCTACCAACAGTGATAACTTGGCTCAGAATGAAGTAATTTGAATGAAATTTTCAATATTTTCATTTTATATTATCTATTTTTGAGCTGTTATAACAAGAATGGTCAGCTTTTTTTATCTCATCTCAATCTTACATAATGTATCTTTAACAGAAAAAAAAAATCATTATTAAAAAAGTAACAATGTCGGCTTGCATGATATTATTTTGAATTAATAACTACTGTTTATTCTGTGCTGAGTTTTTTTTTTAGTTGCGTGTGTTCTACATATAACATGAGCATTAAATAATGTTACTGGTCCTCAATGAACCATACAATTATTACAGTAATTCAACCAGAGAAAATTAGGTACACACCAACTGATAAAGTAATCAACTGCAAAACATTCTTTACATGTGTACAAAACAAGCATATTTCAGTATAACAAACAAAACAGTCTTTACATGTGTACAAAACAAGTATACTTGAGTATAACAAACAAAACTGTATTATTTATGTACTTAGCTTAGAAGGAAAAACCAATCAGTACTTTAAAAGGAATACTGCCAGATATTAGGAGTTAGGAGAGATTTTGTCAATCTGTGTAAGGCCCACTGGTTTAATCAAGGTAACATGTTTCCTAAATATATCCCTGATTATCTGAACTAAACGGAATAACTAGAAAAATCAAGCAAAAATTAACCCAAAAATAAGGTCCTGCCATGAAAACCACACTCTAGGAGCGGACGCTACTTTGATGAAATGAGTGAGATATGTGCCACAGGTGCATATCTTTTAGTAAATAGTAAAACAGAGAAATTATCTTAATTTAAATCCTGGTTGTATTCATATGCACTGTGGTGAAGGAGCCACAATATAAAAGAAGACACAAGCATTTCAGAATGTCATAGCTAAAGTAATACATCCATATAAGATGTGTTATTTATTTATTTTTGAATAGATACTGTTTGACCAATTGTTTTTATACGCCCACATTTTCATGTGGACATATTATGCTGTCCTCCCAAAGATCTTGATTCCTTTCGATATTGGCATGTATCAGACCATAACTTCATGGATTATGGCCCCTGATTGTACGAAAAATCATGTTTTTAGCTTGTGGACACTATAGAGGTCACAATCTTCACCTGATTTTGACGAAACTTGAAATATAGGTCTATCTCCCAAAGATCTCAGTTCCTTTCGATATTGGCATGTATTGGACTATAACTTCATGGATCATGGCCCCTGATTGTACGAAAAATCACCTTATTAGCTTGTGGACACTCTAGAGGTCATAATTTTCACCCGATTTATAGATGAAACTTGAAATGCATATTTATAACCCTAAGATCTCGGTTTCTTTTGATATTTGTGCATATGGGATTGTAACTTCCTGAATTATGGCCCCTGATTGTACAGAAAATCATGTTTCTAGCTTTTGGTCCCTCTTGAGGTCACAATTTTTATCCGATTTAAAAAAAAATTTCTAATATATCACCGTAACACCGTAATGTTGGTTGAGTTCGAATTTCGGGAAAATTGGACCAAAACTGCCGGACAAAATGGCTGCCCCATGTTCGCAAATAGTTTAAACATCTGGTATATCAAGGTTGTGGACACTCTAGAGGTCACAATTTTCATCCGATTTTTATAAAACTTGAAATGCATGTTTATAACCCAAAGATCTTGGTTCCTTGCGATATTCGCGCATATCGGATCGTAATTTTCAGAACTATGGCCCTTGATTGTACGAAAAATTGTGTTTTTAGCTTGTCCCTATAGAGGTCACAATCTTTATTCGATTTAAAAGAAACGTGTGAATATATCACCGTTACACACTAATGATGGTTGAGTTCGAATTTCGTGAACATCGGACTAAAACTGCCGGACAAAATGGCCGCCCCTCGTACGCAAATAGTGTAAAAATATGGTATATCCAGGTTGTGGACCCTCTAGAGGCCACAATTTTTATCCGATTCTGATGAAAATTTAAATTTATGTTTATATCACAAAGATCTTGGTTTCTTTGATAATCGCGCATATCAAAATGTAATTTTCTGAATAATGGGATTGTTCGAAAAATCGCATTTTAGCTTGTGGATTCTCTAGATGTCACAATTGTTTATCTGATTTTAAAAATCGTTTAGATATATCACCATTCCACCATAATGAAGGTTGAATTCAAATTCTGGGAATGGTCATCAGCCAAGTTGGTTGAATACAAAAGTTGTTATGTGAAGTGGTTTCCATAGATGTTCTGATGGACACAGCTTTATAAATTCAGATTTGTAATGTGGTCAGTAATGTTTATTGCATAAATTATCAGAATAGTTTTTATCAAAGACGATAAAAATATAAGTCAGTGCATTGGGAAATCTGCTTATTTGTTGTATCTTATTTCATTACAAACATAGAAAACCGAATATTTTTTTATGCAAAGGATTATGTGTTTTGTTTTTTTAAAATTCCATTCATAAGATGAAAGTGAATAGTGTCATATTGTTTAAATATGGTGTACCTAGAAAAAGTTGATTACATTACAAGGTTTTAATCTACACAATCTGATATTTTCATATTGTCACTACATCTGTGTATTTTGTAATACTATATAACCAATTGTTGTTCCATTAATGTTAAGATATATAAATATTTTCTGACACACATATATACCGGTAGACCATCTGGTTCACAGCTTCTTCAATCTACAATACATCCTGTTTTATTATAACTTTCAGAAAGAACAAAATGTATCAAAATTTCTTCTGGCTCAAATCAATTGAAATTAAAAATTTCTCCAGACAAACATTCATAAAAATCTGCATAACTGTTGTCCATGCATTGTTTTCTAAATGTTTTTTTTTAAAAAAAAAAACAGTGCATGCATCATTTTTATACAACCCCCATTTCAGCAATTTCCGTTAATAACTTCTTGATTTGTAACCTTTGTTTCACTTTGCAGAACCTTGTGATCACTCTATCGACAAAAGTTATCATCTGATCTGTATGAAATTTATATGCATTATTTAAATTAGTAAAACAAAGAAGCTTAATGAATTTCAACAATTTTCATATATGACTTCTAGAGTTATGGCCTTTGTTTCACTTTAGTTAAACCTTGTGAACGCTCCAACGTCCAATCTGTGTCAAATTTGTATGCATTATTTAGATTAGTAAAACGAAGAATCCTATTGAATTACAGCAATTTTCATATATGACTTCTAGAGTTATGGCCTTTGTTTCACTTTATTGAACTTTGTCAACACTCTAACGTCCAATCTGTATGAAATTTATATCCATTATTTAGATTACCAAAATGAAGAAGCCTATTGAATTTCAGCAATTTCCATATATAACTTCTAGAGTTGTGGCCCGTGTTTCATATGGTTGAATCTTGTGAACCTTTTTAACGTTGTCATCCAATCTGTATGAAATTGTTAATGCTCCGATTACCTAAATAAGAATAAATATACAACAACCCTTGTTGACTGCACTGACACATTAGCTGCTGTGGGCACGTGTTTTGGCACTTCCACATAGAGTACTGTTAAAATGAAAATCTGTTTTAAGTGCCAACAAATGCAGGTGCACAAAAATTAATTCTTTTATTTTACAGTGAAAGTTTTCATAGAAATTAATTTAAAAAATAGTGAACAATAATATTCTGATATTAAAGGTAACCAAATCTGTTTTTTGACTAAAGGTGTAAAGCCTGTGGATATTGTAGAACATGATACATCAGTGATATTGTATGAACAGTTAACTAGGGTGGAATAACACTAACAATAGAATGAATTTAGATGAGGATTTGCCTTTATTTAGATTAAGGTAATTCATCACAACGAAATTTTTGAGTCACAAACAAAAAATGTAGTAAATTATACAGTATACCTGATATGCTTGAACATTCAAATTTATAAAACGGGATCTCTATAGTATACAATTTACACTCAAATTATAATATTTATATATTTATGTACATATACAAAATATGTTGAAATTTTAAATATTGGTGGAATGGGCTTGGAATATCAGCTAATATATGTTGATCTATTCATTATTTATAAATTGATTATAATAAAAGATTTGGTACATTATGAGAAACTCGACATAGAGTTAGTATCTTTCAAAGTATGTCGGATTTAAGGTATTATATCACCATTCAAAAAGGTCTGAAATGAAATCAAATGGGGTTTAATACCTACTTTGCTACTAAAAAGGTTACAGTTAACAAGGTAAAATGTGTTTTTATAAAATCAAAAATTCAATCCTCCCTAATCGATTTAAATTGTAGGTTTTTTTTCTCATTTTATGATAAATGTAGAATTTATTATGGAAATAAGTAAACATGGTATGATTTTAATTTCTTGGAATCCTAGCAAAGTCTAGCATAGAAATGAATTTATTATTTTATGAATGGTCTGTGTTCATTTTAGACTGAATGAGTGAAAAGTGTGAAATTTGAGCTGTCTGTATGGTGTGTAGCTTTAGGGAGAAATAGGGCAGAAAGATTTTCTGTTTATCACAATTTACTTCTATTCAAATTATAATTGGTAGATTGTAGGAGGGAGGGTGTCTGCTGTAGCTGTGATTGTTTGTGCATTGTAGAATGAGTTTCAGTTTGTGTTGAGATCTGCTAAGATACCGCAGGCTGAAAAAGGAGAAGTGATGATTTTATTAAGCAGCTGGGATTAAGTTTTAAAAGGTGTGATAGTGGAACAAACTTAATTATATTGTATGAAAGATCTCCAGGATATGATATTCAATTGTGGATGACTTAGTGTGGCATTGAAAATTAAACTATCATCAAGAAAGGGAATATCTATCCATTAATGAGAAGTTCCTAAAATAAAGTTAAGGTGGTGTATTTAAATATTTAATAATATTAAAATAGTGTTACATGTAACATGATATTGTGTGAATTATATGTAGACATAAGTAAGTATAACTAAATAGTAAAGGAGGATACAGTTTTTCTTACACCTTCTTTTAATGTGTTGTTTGACACCAAATAGTTCTATGTATTCATTAAGTCGTAATTGACTCAATTTACTTTTGAAATTGCAGTTTTTCACATTTGCTCGTCATTAAAAAGAGGGACATGTCAATTTACCTTTTATATTTTGTTGTACACGAATCAGTTTAATTTTCTATTGAAGGCATCAATGTGTGATTGGTATGTGCTCAAAGGAGTATTGAGACTAAACAAATATATCATGGTAACCACAATTCTAACGTATAAATTCAATCAAGCCAATGTGTCTAGTCTTTAATCTAAGTGTACCATTAGATTTTGTTGAGAATGGACTACCCTCAACCTTCCCATCCCATATTTCGTTTGCTCACATACAACATATTGTTTGCATGATGTATACTTTCTTTATAATGAATTAATGTCCTCTGTAATGCTCTAGTGATTAATCTAAACATAATTATCTTCCTTTTTTCTCATATCTCATTGAATTAAAAGAACATGTCCAAAATTTTAGTTGTTAAACAATGATACTTTTGTTTACCGGTAAATGTATTTTGACAATGCTTTTGATATTTGTTATTACCCAATAAAAATATATCTTGAATCTTGATAAATGCTATGGTAAAACAAAATGTTACAAAAGCATACGGATGCACCAGTAAAAAAAAAAAAATGACATAATGTGTGTATCTAAATAATGGTATTGCAGACAAAAAGAGATGGAATATCTTTATTTCTAATTGAAGTTCCAATTCCAAGAATAGAATATATAAAATTCTTACAAAAATTACATGGCTTTTGTCAGCATATATTTATTGTCATTGTCCCTTTAATAGTATGGAAAAGAAAATCCAGGTGGAGTGGTTCAAAACCAGACAATGAATGAATACATTGATATTATAATATATAAAATTATATTGATAAAAAATAATACTGTCTCCTATATAAATACACTGCTTAGTTTATAGTGTTTATAATGTAGATAAATTTCACGCCTCAGTATATACTTTACCTTTGTTGCAAGTCTATTTAAAATTCATTTTTCCTCTTATCAAATCTGCCATATCTCTTTAGTCTAGACTCAAGATGGTAATATGACATCCTATCAGTAATAACAAGTTATCAAATAAAAACTGTCATACAAGGGATGAAATTGGATTTAATTTATTGGTTTTAACCAATAAATTAAATAGTGTCATAATTAAACATACAAGTAACCTACTCCTGATATAGATATAAATATATAGAATAACTCTGATTTCCATATCCCTGGAGTTATGTGCTATACTTTAACTTAACAAAAATAGTAATATTTATGTACCGGTACTTCAGAAATGAAATAAATTGAGAACAATAATTGATATCAAATGGTAAAATGGTCCTTCAGCAAAACTGTTTAACAGGGCATGATTCTGAATATTTAGAATGACTGAAGGACCTTTTCTAACTAGTGCAAATAGCACCAAAAACATTTTCAGTTTATGAAATGAAATGGGGTTTAACGTCCTACTGTTCTGCTCCGAACAGGGCCAATGAAGACGGGCATACGCCATACAGTGTGCTATGAGGGAAATTTTGCCCGGACAGCGGCACTACGGCCTACTCTTATATCGAATTCCAACTGTCAAGGGATCTTTTACGTGCACGGCAAAGTGTAGACGGGAGTTCGGTTTTCCATCCCATCCAAAAGACTAGACAACTGTCCTTGTCAGGCCCTCCGTCATGCATCACTGACAAGGTGGAACCATGCGGAAAAATCTGGATGAACTTTTTTGGTCAATGCAGGGATCGAACACCCGACCTCCAGGCTAGTGAGCCAGCATCTTACCCACTTAGCCACTGTGACCCCCTTTCAGTTTATGATCACGATGGTAGAGAGAAAACATCATTAAGTGGGTGCCGCCTGATTGCCACTTGTATGTAGTGGAATTCCACTGGTCTACAGGGGAATTATTCAACAGAACTTTTATATCCGAATGTGTTCAATGTACCATATATATAAGTGCATTTGTAGACACAGTGTGTGTTGTTTAAATTTTTAGGACACAATAACTCTGCCTCTGATTGAGCTATACTGTTAAATCTTGGTTTATTGTTTATTAGGCCTTGACTGAGTTCAATGATGAACATTTTCTGCTTAGCCTAAGCAGAGAGAAACAATTTTGTTGATCAGTACTTTTGAGAGAAACTAAACTTTGAATCTAATAATTAAGTGGGAGTGATGAAACTTGGTGTGCATTTTCTTTACATCATCACCTTGACTAAGTTAGATAATGAGCATTTTCTGCTCAGGTTAAGTAGAGCGATAAGCTATATTGGAATATAGTTTCATTATATCAGTACCCTACCTTCCAAGATGAGCATTTTCAATAGATTGAAATTTGATTGGTCAAAACTTTCAAACAAATTAACCTTTCTTCTAATTGATTATAATGTTCAAACTTGGTGTAGATTTTATTAGGTGAACATTTTCCACTAAGGCTAGGCAGAGATAAACAATTTGATTGGTTGATACTTTGGAACATGAAAACTTTGATTCTAATTGGGTTGGGTGCGGGTATAGTTTTATTACATCAGTGTCTTGACTTAGTTCACTGATGAACATTTTTTGCATAGTCTGAGTAGCAATAAGTGATTTGATTGATGAAGACTTGATTAAGGCTGTTCAAAATTGGTGTTATTTTCCTGAGGTGACTTTTCAATTGAGGCTAAGCAGAGATAAATAATTTGATTGGACAATATACACAATAACTTTGATTGTAATTGAGGGACAGTGATGAAACTAGGTGAATAGCAGGGATGGGGTGACGCTGTACGACATACGAGGCCTCATATTGTGCCATTGGTTCAGGTTTTTTTTCAGTCATACTGACAATTTCAACCATAAAATTATTCAAGATGATATTCGGTGGTGAGGGTTTGCGCCGGTCTGAGGTCTATCTTCTCTGGCCTGGGTTCCAGCGGCGGAGATCAGGAGCTTATCAGCGCCGGTCTGCGATCTCAATTAGAATAGATGGCGCTGTCTTCGTTTGTGGATGGTGGTCTGTTGCCCTGTGCTCGTAATCAGTAATCGTATAAGAGCGGCACTGGTTTTGGTGACTAGCTGGATTGGCAAAGCTTTTGATTATTTGATTCTTGGTTGATCTGTTTTTTTAGCCCCACATCATCCCTGGTGTATAGTTTCACTACATCAAAACCTTAACAGAAGTTTTATCATAAGTGTTTTCTGCTTAGGCTCGATATAGGTAAGCTGTTTGAATGTTCGATTTTTTACAAAAAGATGAAGGTGCAATTAGTTAATGTGTCATCTATTTATTTTGGGTTTGAGTCTAGGGACAACATCCTTAATTTGACTCTTATACAATATTTTTAATTCTAGAAAGGATTGCTCTTAAAAACATCTACAACAACAAAATCATCAAATATTTTTTTCTCCCTTTCCATACCCTACCAAAGTGGTACATTAAATCAATTCTTAATTTTGTAGTGGGGTATCCACCTTTAAAGCAGTTCTTCCTTCCTTATTTATTAGTGTTAGGAAACTGATAATTTTATTTTGACTTAAATCAAGATAAAAATCCTTCAGTTATTTGAAAAATACATAAATTCTTTAACTGTATAGCCAAGAATATTTCAAATATGAGATGTCAGGTAATGATAGAACTGACGGAAAAAACATGATTTTACTCTCAAACAAGATTAGAACCTAGTTCAACTGTCAGTTGCTAGTCAGCATGGAGGGAGCTGTATAGATATGACAAACATAGTTTGATGGCTGCTACCATAAAAAGACTGTGTGACAAGGCGTCTAGTTTGTGTTAGATATTATGTATGATTATACTTTTGTGATATATGGTAGTTTCTGCTGCTTTCTGTCTGACCCATCAGTGTCTAAATTGATTAAAATCTTTTTTTAGTGGCTGGGAATATGAGGCAGACCCAAATCCATGATTGGATTTTTAAGCTCTTTTCTTTAACAGGATGGAAATCAGATATAATACTGGCCAATTTTTTATACACATGCAAAAACATTTTTTCTTACACCGTTCTTGTGAATTTCATGTAAAACAGCAGGTTGCCATTTTGTTTACACCTTTTTAAGATAATTCCTTCAGGCATCATATACAGGAGAGAATGTTACACTCTAGTATGGTTTTAAATATTTTATGCGATAACTTGTCAAGACTGCTTCTCTAATGGAGTTTATTGTCAATTAAGTGATAGATGTGATATTTTTGTTTGTAGATTATTCCACTTATATGAAATATGATATATAATGGATGAACATGACAAGCAGTTCCCAAGTATACAATTTTGTTCCTCACATAAGGCTGATTACTATTTATTAATTGTTTTACAAACCCACAAATACATCTGAATTAGAATAAAAATATTTATTGAAATTTTTCTTTTACTTTTTAGATATAATCTTCTACATCTTAAATTGATCTTAAAATTTAAAAATAGAATTAAAATAGTCAGTCATACTACTTGATTTTGTCTTGATTATCCATTTTATCCTTTTTTCGATGACCTTGAATTATACATGTAAATATTTAAATCAGGATTATCTTACTATTTTTAGTTCTACAAGTAAGTTTTATATTACAATTTTAACATTAAAAGTCTGTAAAACAATTAATAAAACATAAATGGCCTAATTTTATAGGTACATGCATTGAAGTGGAAATATAAACTAAAACATAAAATGTGTATTTGGTAGAAAAAGGTTCTATTCATAGGTGTTACAATGTACATACTTTACCTACACTTGCATAACATTCTTTCTTTTTTTTAAAAAAAAATATATACACCCACTAGTTTTTAGTCAACAGTATATAAAAATTATTCATCATGTTCATCTAGAGTGCTATAGAGTCATGAATTAAACATAATGGTAGTCAGTATTACAAATTTAAACACAAGTTTTATCTAATTACTTCTGTTCATTCTTTGTCACTTCATGACTCGGGTGACATCTGATGTTGAATTAAGAACATTGCTTATAAAGAAAACTATTTAATGGTGGACATTTTCATTCCTGTTGTCTTTGAATTAAAATTCTTTAGACATGTATGCTAATTTTGGGTGGATAAGAAATCAGATTATTTGTGAATTAGACAGAGGTTACCTGAAGACAATATTAGAAATTTCCGGTGAAAAATTATACTTATTTCTCATTTGAAATTCACGTAAAGAGGTTTTTACTCATTTGTTTATTTTTTAGAAGTAAATGAAACAATGGTGGCCACATGATGGTGAGGTCGGGTAGAAATGACCAATGGAAGCCAGGAATATTAACCGTGGTAACAGTCTTGATCTTTCTGAATATATTTGGAAAAATCAGAGCAGGTAGACAAAATACATAATAATATTGTAACAGTCTAAAACTATTGCATTTCAAAGTTTGTCTTTATTTCTGTTTTTTAGAAACATTGGTTAGTTTAGCATAAATATGTAGATATTTAGAAATATAGGATGTGGGTATCAGATCTTGTTGCAGCCATGTTTTGGGACTGAGCAGGACAAAAACCTAAGTTTTCCGTCCAAACATTTTGTATCCTGTGACTTTTAGTCTGAACCGGTATATAAAGTAAATGTTATGCCAAGTGGGGCTAAGAAAAAATCATCCTAATCCTTTTTGAACTTTGTATGCATGTAAAAAAAAAAATTTCTAGAATTTTTAATGACATTACCCAAATGTAATATTTAAAGCTTCAAAAATTTTATTATATTATAAAATGAAATGAAATGAAATGGGGTTTAACGTCCTACTGTTCTGCTCCGAAATGGGCTAATGAAGACGGGCATACGCCATAGTGTGCTATGAGGGAAATTTTGCCCATACAGCGACACTACAGCCTACTCTTACATTGAATTCCAACCGCCAAGGGATCTTTTACGTGCACAACAATGTGTACATAGGACCTCATTTTTCGTACCATCCAAATGAATAGACAGCTGTCCTTGTCAGGCCCTCCATCCTGCATCACTGACAAGGGGGAACCATTATTATATTATAAATGTTCAATAGATCAACCACTCAAAACCTTAAAAATATATTCTTACAAAAGTAGGTATAGGGTTCCAATAAAAGTATGGCAAATTCGGTATACTAGATTCCCTGAAAAACCCACAGGGCAAAAAATCGAAACAAAATATGGATTTGCATTTTAACCAAATTGCCAAACGAGATTTATAAATATGACTTTGACGGTCAGAGGTAATAGTTAAGTAGGCAAGAAACCACTCTTTTCCACCAAAAGCAATAAAATGTGCATGCCATGCCCAAAGCTACCTGAAGCCGACCTATTCTGACTGCGAAGATGAGTCAGCTCAGCAAAAAATAATCTTTTTTGAAGATGTGTAGCTCCATGTATGATCCATTTATTTTTAAACTTTTGTTAATGAATCTTTTCAGAAACCATAAGTAGATTTTTTAAAATTTGATATTTAACTATAACCAAATAAAAATTCTGTCTGTATTAGTAATTTTTCTTCAGGGTTATTGTAAGGTTATGTAGGTAGACAAAATTGTTCTGCTTGTCTAATCATTAAAGACATGGATGTCATATCTTTAGAATATGAAAAGCCAGTTATAATGATTAATTGCTGTAAGGAAAAGATAAATATTATTGTACTTAAGTGTGTGTCTTGTCTCAGGATGTGGCCTTTTACTCACAATAAAATCACTTTGCCTCCATTGTGTCAGTGAATCGTAGATCTAAGGTAGAATATATCTGAAGCATGAAATGATTCTTAAGATCATTGAATTGTGAAAATAACTGGCTAAAGACATAATTAAGTTTTTTTTAAATAGAGATTAGCGGGCCGCAGTCCGGAAGACCCCCAATGTGTATGATAAGCCCAGGTTAAATAAGTCAATGTGTCCTGTTCATTTAAGTATATAAGTAAGATCAATTTCACCTGACTTTTGATGGAATATTGATCAGATAACTACAGACAGAAAGGTTTTATTAACTTGTTTAAAACAGATAGAGATCAGATTTAATCAAGAGTGAGCAATAACTGACCAATTACTTGAATACTAGGGCTTGTTATTACCTTCTTTTTATGATGCTTGTCTGAGCGTAAATTGTTCAGATGAGCAGGCCTGCTAGATAAAATCTATTAAGAATCTATGAGTTAATCTGAGATGATTCTGTTCATTTCATTCAGTAAATATAAAAAAATGTATCAATACTTGCTGATGAATCAGTTAACATTTTTGATTTTTTGCTAATTAAGAACCCATCTACAAAAAGTGACCCTAAACATTATGGCTACAGTTTTTAGAACAGTTTTGCCGTGAAACTTAACAGTAAAATTATCTTCATTGCTTTAAATTACAAAAAAAAATGTGATTTACTGATTTGATTATGACACTGAACTTTGATGATTTAAATAAAACTATTGACTTTAACGCTCTTGACTTTGATAAGTTAGAAAATTCTGTTTAATTAGAAAATTTTAACTTGGTTAGTGAATCTTTTGTTTTAAAGCTAATTAAATCGTCTGCTCCTAAATCTTGTTCATTAGATCCTGTTCCGACTCCTGTTCTTCAGGACTGTCTAGACCAAGTTATTCCAGTTTTTACCAATATTATTGTCCCCCGCCTTTCGAAGAAAGCAGGGGACTATTAAAATGGGTTCGTCCGTCTGTCTGTCTGTCTGTCTGTCTGTCTGTCTGTCTGTCTGTCCGTCTGTCTGTCCTTCTGTCTGTCCGTCTGTCTGTCCGTCACACTTTTTGGGACACAATAACTTTCTTCCTAATTGAGCTAGAATGTTCAAACTTGGTGTATGTGTTTATTAGGTCAATGCCTTGATGGAGTTCGAAGATGAGCATTTTCCGCTTAGGGTAAGCAGAGATAAGCAATTTGATTGGTTGATGCTTTGGGACACGATAACTCTCTTCCTAATTGGGCTAGAATGTTCAAACTTGGTGTATGTGTTGATTAGGTCAATGCCTTGATGGAGTTCGAAGATGAGCATTTTCCGCTTAGGGTAAGCAGAGATAAGCAATTTGATTGGTTGATGCTTTGGGACACGATAACTTTTAATTGAGCTAGAATGTTCAAACTTGGTGTATGTGTTTATTAGGTCAATGCCTTGATGGAGTCCGAAGATGAGCATTTTCCGCTTAGGGTAAGCAGAGATAAGCAATTTGATTGCTTGATACTTTGGGGCACGATAACTCTCTTCCTAATTGAGCTAGAATGTTCAAACTTGGTGTATGTGTTGATTAGGTCAATGCCTTGATGGAGTTTGAAGATGAGCATTTTCCGCTTAGGGTAAGCAGAGATAAGCAATTTGATTGGTTGATACTTTGGGGCACGATAACTCTCTTCCTAATTGAGCTAGAATGTTCAAACTTGGTGTATGTGTTGATTAGGTCAATGTCTTGATGGAGTTCGAAGATGAGCATTTTCCGCTTAGGGTAAGCAGAGATAAGCAATTTGATTGGTTGATGCTTTGGGACACGATAACTTTAGTTCTAATTAAGTGAGATTGATGAAACTTGGTGTATAGTTTCATTACAGTAATACCTTGACTAAGTTTGATAATGAGCATTTTCTGCTCAGGGTAAGCAGAGCGATACGCAATTTGATTGGTCGAGACTTTGGAAAACAATAACTCTCCTACTTTGATTGTCCCCCGCCTTTCGAAGAAAGCAGGGAACTATTAAAATGGGTTCGTCCGTCTGTCTGTTTGTCTGTCTGTCCGTTCCGCTTATGGTAAGCAGAAAAAACAAATTGAAAAAGAAACTATTATAAATTAATTAAATATGTAGTATGCAATAATGAATTGACATTTAATGACAGAAAGAAAACAGTGAACTTTGCACAACTTGCAGCAAGATGGAAAATAGACCCGTTGATACAACCAAACTCTAGATCTGTAGGCATAGAGCATGTTTTCCCCTTAATATGCTATAATTATTCCATCAAAAACATTGTATGCTTAGACTATAAGTAAAGATATACTGTTTGATTGTTCAATACTTTGTAAAAGATAATTTGTGATAAATTTATATGTGTCCTCTAATTATTTTCCTATTTCGGCGGGGGACATCAGCCTCACTGTTGGCTTGTTAATTCTTGTATATCATCCTCTACTATTCCCAACATTTTCAAACTAGCTTATGTTACCCCTTTAATTAAAAAGTCTACACTGGAACCTAATGTTTTTAAAAATTACAGACTTGTCTCTAACTTAAGTTTTATTTCTAAAATATTGGAGAAATGTATTGCTTCTCAGATAAAGGCCCATCTAGATGATAACTGTTTGTATGAACAATATTATTAATTCTTGTATATCATTCTCTACTATTCCAAACGTTTTCAAACAAGTTTATGTAACCCCTTTAATTAAAAAGTCTGCACTGGATCCTAATGTTTTTAAAAATTACAGACTCTAACTTAAAGATAGGTTCCCAGAAAAGTATTTATCTGGTAGTTATTTCCAATAAAAGTATAGCAATTTTCATATATATGGAAAGTAGAGATATCCAATCTTACTAGAAAAATACTGGATTCCCTGAAAAAGACCCACGAAGCGTATACAGGACAAAAATGTAAGGGTTCCCCAATCGACAGCCAGGTATGATTTACCTTTAAAGCATATAGATGAATTACAAAATGTACAGAATACTGCAGCTGGACTTGTTACTTTAACTACGAAATGTGACCACATAACTCCTGTTTTATATAATTTACCTGTTACCTGTTAAATATCGAATTGATTTTAAGATTTTATTACTTACTTAAAACACATTTATTTAATCAGGCTTTTAACTGACTCTGTATACAATTGTTAATAAGTCCATAATCTTGTTGTTTATTTATGATTACATTGTCACTTTGTAAAGTGCCCCTGAACATGTTATATGAAAGGGTGCACTATAAATATGCTGTTTTAATAATAATAATAATAATAATAATCACAAATTTTTGAGTAATTGGTTCATTGACCAAAAAGGTACACATTTGTGATGATTTTTCTTACTCAGTTATTATAACATTCTGACGAAATGACTTATACAAATGGTAAAATATGGTACACAAAGTGTTCAAGCCAACACAATCATTTGTATTTATTTGAAAACGTATATATTTTTTTAGGATCAGGCTGTGCTAATGGGAAGCATTCAGCTTTATCTGGTTTCAGTGATTTGGCAGCTTGTGATGGGAATTGGACAGGTCACATAAGGAATGGCAGCACTGTTTGTGCTGCAGGGTGGAGAGTTTGTTCATGGTATGATGCTGATCTCCTAAAACAATTAACCTGGGATGATGCCATATCGTTTAGTGGGTGCTATGCTTACAATGCAGCACAAGATGGTGGCAGGTGCAAAGAATGCAGAGATGATATGGGACAGGTATGTTTAGTGACTATGAATAGTAGAATAATTGTAGAATGAATACAATAATTTCATTTTTATATGCCCACTTTGAAATGTGGTCGTATATTGTCGTTGCCCCCATCTGTCGGTCCAGCGTCCATAATTGCTTGTGAATGCTATAGAGGCTGAAGTTAATATCTGATTGACTTTAAATAAAATAAAACCAAGTACGAACAATCCAAACCATAAGACAGAATTCAAAGTCCTAAAAAACATTATAGGCAAAATAGTGTATTAAAGCAAAATAGTGTTATCAGCAAATGAACTGCTCCTCGTGTACAAAATACACGACAAACAGTGGTAACAGGTGTCCGGAAGAGTAAGCTTACCCTGCCTGGCGCCACACCTGCATCCAAACTATTAGGCGAAATGTCGGTAAAATAGCGTGATTGGCCAATGAACTATCGGTATGCAAAATGCACGCGATGAACTGTGTTAACAATGTAGTAGACATTATCAGGGAGATAGTAATAGTATACGTCACGTATAATACGTGTCAATTAAATATATGTAGAATAATAGCTGAGAGAGACACGTTATATTTACCAATCAAACCAATATGACGGCCATAAAACTTTTTAAAGGTTTTAATAAGTTTAGTGCGCAAGTATCCTTGTAGTTGAAGCTTAGATGACAAATGCCTCGATCTACTTAAAAAATCAGAATAAAAGGAACAAGCTCTCACGTAACGAATTAGCTGAGACACAAACACTCCATAAGCTGGTGATATTTGAATGTTACTACTAATAAATGGAAAGTTAACAATCGGAAAGTCAATGTCATCACGTTTATCGTACAATTTAACACTCAGTTTATGGCAATTGTCAAAATCGAGACGCAGATCCAAGTAGGAAGCGTAATTGTCACTGTCAGTGGTGTTTTTAATTTCGAGCTCATCAGGATATATGAACTGTACATAATCACTAAATTTAGGATTATTAAGTGATAAAACGTCATCGATATATCGATAAGTGAAATTAAAAAGTCTGACTGATCGTTTATTAGTTTTTACGAGCGTCTGTATGTAATCGGCTTCGTACGAATAGAGAAACAGATCAGCAAGCAAAGGTGCACAGTTGGTGCCCATGCGGATGCCAACCACTTGCTGATATATTTCCCCTCCAAATTCAACAAAGATGTTATCAATTAAAAAATCCAACATCTGAATTATCTTGATGGCCGTGAATTTGTTTTTGGAATCACTGTGATTCTTAACAAAATATGTAGAATTGTAATTTACAACTAAATATTGATATCTAGCAGTACCTGATTTAGACGAAAAGACACTGTGAATAATGTCTTTCAACCGGGCTTTTAATTTACTATGGGGAATTTTAGTGTACAAAGTAGAAAAGTCAAACGTTTGAATAGATGAGACTGAAGCAAGGGATCTAGATTGCAAACATCAAGTAATTCTTTGGAATTTTTCAATATCCACATTTGATTTATACCACTACGAGAGTATATTTTGTCACAGTATTTTTGAATACCCTCTTTAACAGCCGTTAGTATAGATGTCAATACTTTTGATAGTGGTTTTGTGGAACAACGGGATGAACCTGCTATAAAACGTTGCTTGTAGGGATTTTTATGTAGTTTAGGTATCCAATATAACAAGGGCAAATCTGTATAGGTATCTCCACACGGAGTACCAAATGAAGTGAGTACAGATTTGTGATTGGATATAATTTCATCCTTACTAAGAGTAGATCGTTTATATGTAGCACTGTCGATTGGTTTCCCGAAATTAAGTTCTTTGAACAGACAGTCAAAATAATGTCGTTTACATATAAACACTATGTTATTGGATGCCTTGTCAGCCGAAACAATGACATACTTGTCATGCAAGGCATTGAGATTTTCAACAATGCTAACATCATTGAAAATAGACTTAGGCCTAGTGTCAACTGACAAACGTTGCATGTATATTCTTCGTTTAAGTAAACGACTGATGATCTAGCGTAGTCCTCTACGGCATCCATAATAAGTTTGAAATTTTGTTCCCATGAAAATGGTTGCGGTTCCCGGTATTTGGGTCCTTTGGACAAAATTTCACGTAGCTTATTATTCTGGACTATGTTCAAATCACCAGTGACCACATGTCCAGCTGGTGGGTAAAGGAAGGACGACGTAGAGCAAGAACATGGTAGAGGGTTATTATATAAGTCTTTTGCATTGATGTCAGATAATGCGTTTCTGTAATTAAATATTTTGGATGCAATGGGTTTAGTATAAGTATAAGAAATCCTAGGAACAGTAACAGTTTTGAAGTAAGGAGGGATGTGTGCTGTGACTTGCTTATGGTGTAATATTTGCCTTAACCTGATAGCATCAATGCCTTTATTAGCAAATTTCAGTTTTAGAAATGAACTGTTGGTGGTGTGCGACACATCAGGCTCAGTCACAATGTCCAAACGACGGTGGGCAATGTCAAGGACAATGGATACAACCCTGTATTCAGTGGATGCAGGATCAGTACAATTTGAATCCAAACATTCAGATTTAAGTAATTTCAAAATAGTAAGTGGAATAGAATATAATTTAGTATGGATATGGTGTGGCCCTAATGGTTCTTGGATAATTTCCAACAGGGTATCCAGTGATATAGTGCTGAGCTTAGGTGGTGTGTAGCAACGATGTCCATGACTGTGTTTTCGACGATGAAACTTTGGGAATAACATCATGACATTAACATCGCTACACGCAGGGCTTGATAAATTCCCAATACTAGCTACATTGTCATTGCATCCATAAGGGGTGGCAGTACCTAATGTTCGTATCCAATATTCCTCTCGGTCTCTGCGAAAGGGAGTACTCAAAGCAGTGGCGGCGCTAGCCGTCGGTGATTGGAGGGGCAAAGCTGGGGCAAAGTCCGAGGTTAAGGGGGCCAAGGCACGAGCTTCAACTAGGGGTAGGGGGCCTCCCCCAGAAAATTTTGAAAAACAGGTTGCCGGAAATGCAGCCTGGCAGTATTTCAGGCACTGATCGATGAGGTAAAGTGTCAAACGAACGGACTTGCGAATCACGACGTAGCCCACATCAAAGAAGGGAGTCCTCCCCCAGAAAATTTTGAAAAATAGACTGTCGGAAATGCTGTCTTACAGTATTCTGTCAGACACCGATCGTCGAGATAAATAGATCTGACCAAATACCGTCCGTCGCCTGATCACTAGTTTATCCGACTAGAGAACAGAATGTCAAACGAACGGACTTGCGAACCTCAACGAAATCCCCTTGTGAGCGCCAAAGTAGCGAATCCATTGAGGACCTCGCCAAGAAAATTTTGAAAAATAGACTGTCGGAAATGCTCTACAACATGCAAGTTTATGACTGAGTGGGGATGTGGGATTTATTCACCGTAGAAGGTATTGATTACCGAAACGTATCACAAATACTTTTTTTTATTTTCTAAATTATTGGGGGGGGGGGGCAAACAGAGGGCAGACCAGATTAATGGGGGGGCAAATGCCCCCCCTTGCCCCCCCTGGCGCCGCCACTGACTCAAAGTAGGGCTGTTAGTATGGTGGTAAATTTTCTCTGATATGGACACTCTCATTGTTAGTATAGAGTGGTCCGGTTGGTTAAAATGTCTATAGAGAATCTGGTTACTACCCTTATTAATGTTGTGACGATGACCATTAATGCGTAAGTGTAAAGGTCCTTTAGTTTCGCCAACATAAATCAGTCCGCAGAGTGTACATTCTATACCGTAGATAATATTGGAGGTTTTACAGTTTAGTTTCTCAAACCCACGTGTAAAATATGTTTTATTAGTTAAAGAACTAGTAAAATGTGTATTGCTATTCAAAATAGGACAGGTTTTACAATTATTAGACATACATTTAGAAATATAACAGTTAGATTGATGTGGTGAAAAATGCAAAATATCAGATAGTTTGACAGAACACTGTTGGGTTGAGATTAATGAAGCATCCGTGGACTTTAAAACATTACAGGCACCTGAACGAAAAATATCTCCCACACCATTACTAGTATCTTGGGATAATTTATACACAGTGTTTAAGGTCATGAGACGAGAATCCTACTGATTTTCAATGATTTATGATAATTACTGCCAGAGTTATGGCCCTTGATCACTTTGAAAAAGCTTGTGGATGCTCAGAGCCTAAAGTTAATGTCCAATTGACTTTAAATTTATACAGTGTTTAAGGTCATGAGACGAGAATCCTACTGATTTTCAATGATTTATGATAGTTATGGCCCTTGATCACTTTGAAAAATCTTGTGGATGCTTTATTAGAGACCATAGTTATCATCTGACTGATTTTATATTTATACACCATGTTTACGCCTATATATATCGTTTCGATTGACTTTAGGTTGATACAAAGAGTTTAAGGTCTTAAGACGAACAAGTACTTGTGTATTGATTTTCAATAACTTCAACAGCTAAATCCATGTTATTAAATGTTTTGTATACTAAACGTTAGCATGGGCCAAACAAATTCTAATGATTTTCTGATAATTACTTAATGAGATGTTGCTTTTAATCATATTTTAGTGTATTATAAATGTTTCATTACTGACAAAAGTAAAAATATGCAACAACTTCTGTTGACTGCTCGTAAGATTTAGTTTAGCTGCTGTGTGGGTGAATGTTTCATTGCCTGGCAACCTATCTTTCAACATGGAGGACAAAGCTGCTTGTGGGAATTTGAAATTTAAGTTTGATTGTATAGTCCTTGACATACAGTGTAAAGTTGATATTGTTTACTTATGAACAATCACATTTTTTTGCTTTAAAAATATAATTTGTGAGCTTCATGCATTTAATTTAAACTATATTCACATGACAGGGTGAGAACATGTACTTGACCCCTTCAAACACAAAATGACAATTGATCTAAAGATTAAATTCATTTGTTTTTGTTACTTGAACATGTCAATCAAATATAGACACTTACATCTTGTTTGTATGATTCATACTCCCATTGGCAATATATAAAATTATAAATGTGTTATTGTCTGCGATATCACCTCGGTGAAAGCGCACGTTAAATAAAGCTATTTCACACATGAAAACCCCCCAGATTTAAATAGATGGAAAGATTTGTGAAAAGTGCATACTGATCATTCTCTTCACAGAACAATAAAACTACTGGTGTGATGTTATGAAATCTGGTTGTCTATATTTTCCTCCATGTTGTGTGGATGTATATTAGTGTCTTTTAGTGATGAATGACTTTCATGGCTTTTACTGATCATTATGAGTATGCTCTATTGGCATACTTTGTGATTTAATGTAATATGATACATTCAGAACTGATTTTTTGGTCCAACATAATATATTTGATAACCACAAAAAAACATAAACATCCATATTAAAAAACCAACGACAAAGATATACATAATACAAAAAATTCTTAACTATTCAGCAATTGATTACAAACAAACCTTCTTTTACAGATGAACTATGTAAAGCTAAAACTGCCTATTGCCGGTTTTTCATTTGGCTTTAAACTTATATATATTAACATGCCAAGCCTATAATTAATTCTATACAATCAAATGGTCGAGATTCAAATGGATTAGAATACCAGCAAGATTTTAAAATTAAAGATAAAATGGATAATCAAGACTTTCTGTTGCTAGATAATGAACAATCTACGCTCCATCTTGTCAAACCTTCGAACACTCTATAACTTCGCCCAGAATAAAGTAATTGAAATAAAATTTTCAATATATTAATTTTTCATTATCTTTTTTTGAACTAATATATCCAGAATGGCCAGCTCTTTATCTAAATTGTATATAATGCATCTTTAAGGGATTAGGTTTACAGCATTTAATGTTAATTATGATAGAAAATACAGAGATGTATAGAATTAGACCTGTTGTGACAACTCCTATAAATGTCTAACAATACTCAAACAACCAGCTCAGTAACACTGACATTAATAGCTTTTTTATTGCCATATTTTATGTAAATTCTAATTGAAAATAAGTATGTGTGTAATTCTCTTTGACAAAAAACTAATTTTATGAGATTTGTTAAAATGACAGATAATGTTTGATCTGTGAATGTAAAATTATTTCAGTTTTAAAAATTTATTTCATGACAATTTTACTAGTATAAGATTTTTGATCACACTTTGAGCAACTTAATTACTGTAGTGATTTTTTAAAATGTACATATTATTTGGGAGTATATTGATATTTTTATTAAACTATTCAAACTATCTAATCATAATAAATCAAATTTAAGAGTCATTCACTGAGTTATTGCCCCTGTCACCAAACTTTGTAAATGCTTTACAAGTCAGTTTTTCATGCTTGCAAGGATTGTCCGATGAGTCATGCATCCTCTTTTATGCAAAATTATTCCTCCTTTCGATTAAACCATGTAAATAAATTAATTAATTGAAAAGGATTATGAGATATTTTGTTGTTAGTTGCAGGGCTTTTTTTGTTGCTATGTTATTTGCATTGAGTGGTTATTTTTTATATTAAGTAAGTATGTGTTCATATTTGAAAATGTTTTTCAAATCTGTGGTATTGTTTGGCTAGCTTCAGATGTCTAAGGTTTTAAATAATCAGCATGATGATCTGCGTGGTAGTAAACTATTATGTTTTCAATTATTGATCTGGTTTTAGAATGACAAACTACATTAAATGATTACAGATAAGTAGGTATTACCTCCTGTTGCTTTACGGTAATAAAATGGGTCCAGCTACTTTACCATTGCTTTATCATATCGCTCCATATGGGGTCAAGTCAATTTGTAATGTGTTTTAAAGCAGACCGGTAGCAAATATCCTTGTTCATTTTATAGAAGTCATGACATATTATTAGCATTGTAGTCAGGCTCTCATCCATCATGGACACAAAATAGTCATCTTCTACAATAGAGGGATGATAACTCCACAGGGCGCAATAGACCCACCACTAATCTTTTAACACCATAAAATAACAAAATCTTAAAAAAGGTGTTTAGAGTATTAGATAAGTTAGGCAGAATAGTTTATGTTTCACAGTTAAGAATACATTACATTGTATCCACTTTATAAAGGTGGTAATAGAATTGTTGTTGAGCTACTTGGATTTTTGGATACAAAGGGTTAATTTTAAACATCAGTTAATAGCAAAACTTTGTAATGTAAAGGATAATTCTATAGTTCACATATTGTTCATTGAATTTTTGATCCCTAAGTAGAGTTCCTCGGAAAATTGCAAGTTGTAGAAATGTGAAATTTTAGAGAGACCACTTGACTCTCCAACTCTTGACTCTGGGTGGTCATTGTTCAGTCACAGGAAAAAAGAATTTGAAATATATTTGCATTTGGAACTAATCTTGATCTTGGCATCTATAAACTTAACTTTGTGTCTTGGTGCATTTGCATGTACAATAACGATGTATAACTATATAACTTATCACCACTCAGGATATGATAAATTATTTTAATATTACTAACCTTTTTGTTATCAGAAGAAAATACATTTAAATCAACCTAACCTGTCAACATTATACATCATTTAAAATACCCCCTACATGTACATGGGATGTAACTTCAGTTTATCCTTGTCTACTGTGCATAATAGAAATAATATACTGTTGAAGTTTAACCACTACACTGTGCATTCATAACAAAATCTGTTGGAATTCACAGGCATATAGTGTACATTATCAATATATGAATGAGGATCTTCACTAGGTTGTCCAGAGGCCTTTATTGTACCATTCCATCTTTTGGGAATTATTGATTATCAGTAATTTCGTAAGATGTAAGTGTCCAACGCTTAACAACAAAACACATACTTATGGAAAACAGCTACTAGTGTATTTAAGGCAACGTTTCGTAGAGTATTCTCTCAACGTTATCAAGCTTATACAGTAAAACAGGTATGAGGCAAATATATATAGACAAAATACAACAACATAACCGAAACCATACATAGCAACAACATGATCAAAGGCCTACACCAACACTTCCGGGGGCTTGAACTTAACATATTTACCTCCTAATCTATTAACTGTATTGATATAGGATACTGCCACATCTCCATATTGATGTCGGATATGTTCTTTAAATGGCATTTAGTAACTGGATAGAGTAACAACAAAACACATACACAACAAAACAAAACACATGTCCAACGCTTATAATTAAACAGGTGCAATTCAGAGGATTGAACAATCTTTTCTTGAACAGTTAGAAATATATAGTAGTTTGACAAAACTATCTGATTAACTTCCAGTAGCCTATAGTAATCTGGTAGAACTCACAAAATATAATTGTGGTCTATGGGCTAGTGCTACTGAAGGCTTATAGTAAATTCACAATTAAATTAAGTTAAATGATTAGTTATTAGCTAGCTTTTAACATCATGTATGGCGGACAACTGCTTGCAATCTTGCTTTTTCCATACTTCTGTCGTGAGTGAGTAGGATCTGGATTGTCTTTACAGTTACCTTGAAGAAACCTCTTGTAAACTTCTTCGTTTTACTGCTCCTCGAGCATTAAAACATCAATATGTTTTATAAGCAAATGTTCAGCCCAGCTATATGTAATGATAAATTAATGTATAGAGTATAATACACTAACATAACATTGTACACTACTCAATAGAACTGTTATATTACATTTTGTAGAAAATACACTTATGACATACATAAGCCAACAATACTATACACTGTTAACAAACAAAAACAAAATCTGTCAAATATAAATAATAAGTTTAAAGCCCTTGTTTTTGCAGCATTTTACAAATTCCAAGTTTTATTCCTGTGTGGGTATTTCCTTTTGATATTTAATAATAAGATCTCAATTACTCTCTGTTTACAATAATATCTGTTATTAAAGATACTTAGTTTATACTTATAGGATGATATGGCAGGTATCGGTCAAGGATGTGCTCATCAAAATATTGGCCAGACATCCTGTATACCTGGTGGTAGAATTGATGCTAGCTGTTGTGTTGATTCTCACTTTCATAGAGCATGTCAGCACCAACCAGGTTTAACCAATGGTGTCTTTTGTTGCAAAATGCCAGGTACTATAATAAGTCAAACCATCCTCTACATTCATTGTTCAAATTTAATGCATCTGAATTAATCAGATTATGCTATATATAGTTCAAATAAGAGTTAATAATTCATTTGCTTTTTCAGTTCAAATTGTATTTGATACTTAATGAAAACCTGAAAAGCTATGTAATACAATTTAAGAATTATTCAATCCAAATATCTATGTAATGATTAAACTCTATTCTTAATCTGATGAATTCATGTTTTAGTTTTATATGGCTGTTATTATTTTATTTCAGTAAAACTACCTCGTATTGTGGTAAAACCACCAGAAAAGATGCATGTATATACTGGTTTGATATTTTTATTAGCCTGTCAGGCTACAGGCATGCCACCTCCTAGGGTACAATGGTATAAAGATGGTACTCAGTTGTCGGAGGAAAATTCTAGAATCTCAGTTTTATCATCAGGTGAACACATAGTAGTATATTAATTGTACATCTATTAAAGATACTTTCCCACAAAAGTATTTATCTGGTGGTTATTTCCTATAAAAGTATGGCAATTTTGGTATGTATGGAAAGTATAAACATCCAATTTTACTAGAAAAATACGGGATTCCCTGAAAAACACCCATGGAGCACATACAGGACAAAAATTAAAGGGTTTCCCTAACTGGCAACCAGATGTCTGCTCAAGTGACGTCAAAGGTTGCACGCGAAGATTGTTTGATTTCTCAGCGTTAATGAGTGCTTGATGTGTATGTTGATACACTTAGGAGATAAACACCTCCTGTTTCGCATTTAGAGGGGTGTTATTGTCCAATAGACATGTCCTGAGATCATTAGGACCCAAGACGCGTTAGCGTCGCGGGTTCTTATGTTAAATCTCAGGGCATGTCTATTGGACAATAACACCCCTCTAAATGCGAAACAGGAGGTGTTTATCGACATTGTAACATGCTATTTTTTAGAATTTTTAAAGAACTTATTTTATTGTGTAAACTTCAAAATTCGTCTTACTGCAAATCGGTTTTAGTGACGTAAAAACCAAAGAAATCAATTTTGACGTAATGAAAACGTTGTGACGTAGCGGGGTAACTGGCTACTCATGTTAGATTTGGCCCGCTATCGTCTGGTTGCTATAGTAGCCGTATGAGTATAGACATACAAAAAAACCCCATAAAATTCTCACTTCATTTTTTTAAAAGTAGTTTTTGAAACAAAATTTATGTTTCTGTAATATATTTTTGAATATTTTGTTGTTTGTAGCTGTTACCTGACAAGGGGGTTGGCGTTTCAAGTTCATCTTCGGGCATATCTCCAAATATTTCATCTAATGTACCGAGATCAAAATTGATTGTCTCCATTGTGGTTATCGCCATTAAAGTAGTACGCATAATATTAATACGCAGTGAATTTTCTAATTTAGAGGGGTGTTATTGTCCAATAGACAGTGTCTAATCGACCAGTCAAAACGCAAGATTCACCCTTAAGCATGTTACAATAGATGGTAAGCTTAAGCGTACAACAGTTTTTGAGATAAAAACCGTGGAAAAAGATGTGGGCAGTGGATAATTCAAGAATTTAATTTAAGCAAAATTTGGGATAGATAAATTAGTTTGAATATGTTTTTAGTCCAAATTTATCATCAAATGACCCAGTTTGTACACAGGAATGTATCTTTAAATTCTATATATATACAAATATGAAAAAAATTATAAAAAATAATTTTTAATAATTATGATTTATCCCCAATAATGAAATGGAATGGGGTTTAACATCCTTCTGTTCTGTACCGACTGGGCTAATGATGACAAGCATAAGCCATACAGTGTACTATGATGGAAGTTTTGCCAGGATAGCCACACTATGGCCTACTCTTATTACAAATTCCACCTGTCAAAGGCTATTTTACCTGCAGGCCAATTTCTACGCAGGGCCTTGTTTTTTCAACCCTGCCAAACGACTACGTTGTCCCTTGTTAGACCATCATAAGGTCTGTCATTGAGTCAAGTGGCTTGGTTTTGATTTCCCGCTTGTACGTGACAAGGATTAGGGTAGCTGTCTAACCTCGTGGGCTTTCTTTGGGTCCTCCGGTTACCTCCCATTGCTAAAGACCCCGATGCACAAGCAAATTATTGAAATAAAATTGAACCATCATATGTTGGTCCCAAAATGACCTAGTTTGTGTCAGGCAGATGTTAAACCCCATCTCTCTCTCTCTCTCTCTCTCTCTTCTGCACCACTGACAAGAGGGAAAATGCAGATTAATTATTAGAATATATTTTATTACTTTACTTATATATATTTGATTCAATATGTAATATTAATAGGAAATGTTTGTATTTTAGGTGATTTAATAGTTACGCTGGCCCGTAAATCAGATAGTGGTTTATATACATGTGAAGTTATTAATGAAGAAGGTATTGATATGGCCAGTTCTTATGTTGTTGTAGCAGGTAAGTCTTATCATTAATTATACGTGCTGCACTCAATATGCCCATATGTTACAAATATCTTGGTTTGAATTTGAACTGTGAATCATTTTCAAGGAAAGAACCAAGCCATTATATTTATAGTTTCACTTCAAAACTAATACTTCATCACTACACAGGTACTCAGTTAAGGTATATTTGTTATTTTTGTATATGCCTGTATTTATCAAATTGTGAAAACCTTTTAAGACAATGCGACAGTTGACATTGACTGGTGTTGAGCTATGGTTTTGCTGCCTTTTACCTTTAAAAAACTAAAATGACAATTTTTAGTACTATTTTAAAAAATGAAATGAAAGAGAAGAGCTTGTTGTTTTTTGATGATGCAAATATTTACAGAGTATGATTCGGGTTGTGTGGATGGTACAACAGAGGGTCTACATATACATAAAAATATACATGCCTGTGGAGGATCTTGGAAAGGTCATGTGAGACGTGGACGTAGTTTATGTCGAAAGGGTTGGAGAGTATGTAATCCTAAAGATAGAAATAGTTTAGAGGAATTAACATGGTTAGATATGTTTGACTTGGCAGGATGTTATGCTTATAATGCTGCAACATATAAAGGTGCTTGTAAAAAGTAAGTACATAATTGTAACCTGGATTTATTGAATTCTCTTTTAATTCATTTGTAAAATTTACATCAGAACATTCATTTTGATAAAGAAAAACATACAAAACACTGAGGTGTCTCTGAAGACTTAAAGGGAGATAACGTTTACATTATTGAAGGGTTCAGACTGATAATTCTCTCCCCATTCAATTCAATGCTAAATGTTTTCTATTTGTTGGCTCCGGTTTCCTCCCACTGCTAAAGACCCCTACGCGCAAGCGAATTATTGAAATAAAATTAAACCATATGTTTGTCCCGAAATGACCTAGTTTGTGTCGAGTGGACGTTAAACCCCATTGCTCTCTCTCTCTCTCTCTCTCTATTTGTTGGCCTATCAAAATTTATTTGATATTAATCTTTATAACTATTAGGAGCCCAACATGTAACAATCATCTGAGAAGAATATTGAAGGGTGTTTTTCTTTGGTGATTTCCCCAATTCAAACACTCTTCTTTGATTCCAATCTCGATCCCAGAGATAAGTTTACTCTTTGTTTATCTCTGGTAAAACTAGCCGGCCATTTTGAATGTCACGTGATGAACCAAAAAGATATAATTTGGCATTGATGCTACCTGTATGTGCTTTCGGGGGGTTGGATGGCCGAATGGTTAGCATGTGCGCGCTCCGCTGTATCATACGGTCTGTCTTTGAGTCAACTGGCGGGGTTTCGATTCCCCGTTTGTACGTGACAAGGAGTAGGGTTGCCTGTCCAACCTCGTGGGTTTTCTCTGGGTCCTCCGGTTTCCTCCCACTGCTAAAGACCCCTACACGCAAGCGAATTATTGAAATAAAATTGAACCATGTGTTAGTCCCTAAATGACCTAGTTTGTGTCGAGTGGACGTTAAACCCCATTTCTCACTCTCTCTGTATGTGCTTTCTGGATGTAATATATTTATTCATTGTTATGATGGGCAGTTTGAAACCCTAATTATGAAGACTAAAGGGAGATAATCAGTTTATGGAGAGTAAACAAGTTTTCATAGCAATGTGTTGTCAATTCTATTGAATTTGCTTTTCAGATGTGTCGATAGTCGAATGGCAGGAGTAGGAAGGCAGTGTGGTTTGATACGTTATTCTCAGAAATCATGTTTATCTCATGGTCGAGTTGATGTATTTAACCCTAGGAATAGTATAGCCTGTGAATATAGAGAAGGTGCTGTCTCAGGTGTACTTTGCTGTAAGAAGAAGAAGAAAAGTCACAAGAAAAAACTTGGTAAGGGATAAAATATGATATAATTTTCCATTATTGGTATTTTTTGAAATATATTTATAATATTCTCGGGGAAATAAAATGAAATGGCTGGATAATTCTTTTATTTTCAGAAAGAAGACGATATTGTCGAGATGAATGTAAAAATGGAGGAGTTTGTGTTGGTCATAATCGATGTCATTGTGCTATTGGTTATAAAGGAGCAAGTTGTCAAAATGGTAAGTCATGCTTTGAGTTGTTTTATCAGTAAGAGAACTTTTCAGAACTTAAAATGTAATGTTAAACAAATATTCTAAATTTTGGTTGAGCATAGTTGCTGCCAGAACAACTGGCAGATTTGGTTTGTAGGTACAAATTGTGATGTGTGTTGTGCATGGGCCAGGTATTATTTCACTTTCTGGATTACTTGGTTTATTTGAAATGTTCTTGAAGCTATGTTTTTATTTGGATTTTTATTGTTGCTGTTTTGGTTGGGGTTTTTTTTGTTTTTTTATTCATTTTTCTATGTCTACCTTCTTGAGCAATTATCCTGGATTTACTATTACACACTGTAAATGATTTTTGGATTTGAATAATTTCTTCATTAAAAAAAGTAATAAGAAATATGTTTAAACATGTATATAATTGTTGATGTATATTTTTTGTAGCTATCTGTAAACCAGGATGTGGAAGTAAAGGTCATTGTATCAAACCAAATAAATGTAAATGTCAGCTCGGTTATTCTGGTAAACATTGTAACAAAAAATCAAAGGGATGTAAGCGACCATGTTTAAATGGTGGTAGATGTCTGAAAAGGAAATGTCAGTGTCCCCAAACACATTGGGGAAATTCCTGCCAATACTGTAAGTTGAGGATGTTATGCAAATTCTTATAAAATTTGAATTGGATGAAGTTATTTATGTTGTATAGAGTAGTTTTAAGTTTAAACACAGTATTAAGCTCTATCATATAAAGGTGTGGAAGAAAGAGCCAGGTTTTCATTTACTGATCTGAAATGTAGTGCTGTTTAAATGGATTATGTGTAATGTTGTTTTTTTCTTGCAGTACTACAGCATATTCTACTCTCTAAGCTAAACAGAACAGAAAGATAATTTTAATACTGCCAATTTTTATCATTTTATAGAAACTATTGGTTGTTTTTAAATGTAGTATAAGCTTGAATGACAAAATATATCTAGTTATGCATATTTTCAGTGAATAAATCTTATTCCAAAAAGCAATTTAAACTTAATATTATTGCAATAGTGTATCATACTGGAAGTTGTAGTAAATTTTACGTGGTTGTTTTGATGTTAGTGATGTAATTTTTTATTGACTTATATCTGTCATATTATATATGTTGTTGTTCGTATTTGTTTAAAATACAGAAAATAGAAAGGTTATTTTGGTGTAATTAATTATGACGTAATTGTTATTGTTTTACTATGTTTATGGAAAATTTTAAAAATTCATTGAAATCTCTAAAATTGCTAAGTTAAGTTTTATATGAATTGTAATTTACATTGTTTTTGAGTGATTATTTTCCTATATTACTTTTTCAATTATATTTGTTTCATACATTTTGGACATTACATATTGCGAATCATGAGTATGCAAAAGCTCACTCAGTCTTGCTGTATTTTCTTCTTTATTTTTAAGAATCCTATTTACATCTGAGTATGCTGTTCATTATTTTTTTATTACCTCACATTGCAATGCAAATTTAAAGTTTGTCTTTAGTTCCCAAGCTGACTGTCCTCTATCAGATGTAATAAAACCACACATTTAATGAAATATTTATTGTGTGTGTTGCCCTTACAAAGATATAATCTCAATTTGTTCAGTAAGCTGAGAAAAAGGAGATAATTAAAGCATATCACCTCCCTTTTTCTGTTAAATTATGTTATAATTAGTTTGTCAAAGAAATATTGAGTACAATAAATTACATTTTTATAAGGTTTTAGCTTTTGTTATTTAAAACCATTTGCTTATTCAAACATTTTTTTGAAGATATTATCCTATGATTATCACTGACACAAGGGAAACTAATCACGAATAAAATTAATGATTTTTAAAGCGGCATTAGGTAAGATTAGATAAAGAGCAGACAATTCTTGCTATAATAGTTAGAAAATAAATAATGAATATGCTGAAAATTTCAGTCAAATTACTTCACTCTGAGCCAAACTATTGGTGATAAATAGTATAGCCTCGATTGTCGTTACTACCGCTGTTACGATAATAAACAAAGTCTGGATTATCCATTTTTTGGGGTTATCAACCACAAAATGTATTCAGATCTACTAAATATCGTAGCCATCTGATGGCATCGTAGATTATGGTCTTGGTAAGTTAATTAATTTCTAATCAATAATTTATATAACATTTCAGGCCTAAAAAAAGACCTGCAATGGGCAGATTTAGCTCTTGCATACTAGTTCTATTCACTGTTGTCCATAGGTAAATACAATACAGTTGTGAATGAAACACATCACATGCCAGTCAGTGATTTAGTAGAAATAGAACTAAACCATTGCCGAAATGTCTCCACCCTACTTCAAGATCATAAAAATTTGGTTATGTTTTAACATAATTAGAATCACAATCTGAACAAATAAAACGACTTTCAATAAGTATACAAAGATGTAATGCATTATGTATTTTTATTAATTTTTTGTAATTTAAACTTTGTTTGCTACTTTGTCATATTTTGATGTAAATAATAGTCCAGACATTTTTTATTATTCTATACAAGTAAAACCTCTAGATTTGTAGATATATGTATTTAATATTATATTGTTTAAAAAACAACAACCACCGTTTCAGTAATATTTTAAGATATATCTTGTATCAGTAATAAAGATTAATAAACAGAAATATCTACAACTCAATAGTCGTTTTCCTGTAGTTTGTACCAGGTCATACTCAGAAATCATGTAGTGGTGTTGGAATATATGCCTAGCAGTATATTGAAGGGTGTCTGTTAAGTTTACACAGCAGTAACAATAACTTCATAAATTTAATGTGTGACCCTGAATTCCTGTAGGATTTAAATTTCTCTTGACACAGCAACCTAATGTAAAAACTCTTTGGTCACGGGCACAATAAACATGAAAACAATATCTCAAAAAATCTGTAAGCTGTGTACTGATTAAAAGGGTTTGCTTTTAGGGAGCAATAACTCCACATAAAATGAATGCAGAATTGTAAAGAATTTCGACAGGGTTACTACTACTAATAATAATAATTACTAGCTGCTGCTGTCCTGTGCAGATATGAAAGCTTTCATATTCATCTTCACCTGTCATGGATTATATCAGGTATCCTAAAAGAAAAAAAAGAACAAGAAAAAATAATTATCAAAATCGTTCAAAAACTCGCGAAGTTACAAGTATATATAAATACAGTGAGAAACATTGCACCCGGCCTAAAAAATAACTAAAGGGAAATAACTGAAACTTGTTTTGCTGTAATTGGAATGATTTTCCGTTCCAGAAGTTTCAGAAAAATGGATCACGACGCTTATAAACGGAACGGATGAGGAAATGAAATGAAAATGGCGGGAAAGAACTAAAAAAAGGCAGGAAAATTTCGAAAAATTAAATTAGATTACATGCAACTCATATTTTTTGATTCAGATTGACCTCAGCTGTTCGAATATTTCGGTTAAATTTGTACATTTTGAAAATTAAGGACATAAATTGTCCTGTAAACAACTTTGTCGGCACGTAAAACGCCAAAGGCGAAAGTTACAGCTATGTAGCTCAATTTTTTCATCAGTAAAATTCGGTGATTTTGGATTCGTAAAACGTTTTTAAAATATATTAATTCCAAAGCCACCACCCATTCTTGGAAGGAGGCTAACCACACAAATGTATTAATTTCGGAAATAGGAGCCGAAAGCATGAAAAGGCGGCTGATTTCGGTTATTTTCAAGCCGTACCGTTAGTGGGAATTTTTCACTCGTAAACAACTTTGTCGGCACGAAAATCGTCAAAGGCGAAATTTGAATTTTTGAAATATTCAAATACTAAAAATTCGACCATGAGCCAGGCTATCCGGAAATGTATTAATTTCAGAAATAGGAGACGAAATGGAGGGGGGGGGGTAGGTCAAAGTTTCAGAAAGATCCTATGGTTAGATTCTGAGATATAAGATTTATGGGAAAATAACAACAATAAAAAAATAGTTATAATCTTAACAGAAACAATGAGCTTTCATATGTAATATCAAAGCTTAATAATCCATCTTGTATAGCGCTGGTACATTCAGTAAAACTGCTGTGGCGCGCAAATTAATGTTTAAAATCACTTACAACACTCCTTAAAATTTAAAAGTAAAACTCAGTTTAAAAGGTTAATGATTAATAACACTGTAAACATATTTAAATCACGGATTAAAAGCCATATTAAAATAGTGTGTTTTGAGTTTCTTCTTAAAACTTGAGGCAATTTGTATAATGGAAAGGGGCAATTTATTCAATTCTTGCGGGGAGGCGAAACAGAAGCCTCTTTCTCCAAATGTTGTGTTTGTTTTGTGTGCTTTGAGTTGTACATGTAGTTGATTTGATGACCTGATGGAACGTTGAGGAATATATAGATGAATTAAATCTTTAAGATAGGCCGGAGAATCGGGATTGTTGAGGCAGTTATAGATGAGGTTGTTGATTTTGAAACATATTCTGTATGTAAATTATAGGTAGCCAGTGTAGATCTGCAAGGGTTGGAGTTATGTGTTCTCTAATGTTGGTTCTTGTGATAATTCGGGCTGCTTTGTTTTGAATAGACTGTAGTTGGTGGATGAGATAATGATGGTAAACTGTAAAGAAGTGAATTTGAATAGTCTATAGTGCAGATGTTACTAAGGCATTGATGAGCAATTTTGTTGTATCAGTGTCGAAAAAAAAGTTTCTGATTCTGCCGATCCTATAAAGTTGGAAGTTCGCTTTCTTGCAGATGGTAGAAAAATGTTTCATTTATAAATTTTCATCCAAGAGCACTCCAAGAATACTGACACAGTCTGTAGTTTCGATACGTACATCACCAACCAGCACAGAGTTGTGCAAAGATAGTTTTGTTTTTGAAAAGAAGATGGCCTCGGTTTTGTCATCATTGAGCTTGAGGAAGTTAGACTTCACCCAGTTACGAAGGTCCTCTATACACACCTCTAGTTTCTTCAGGTTTTTGTTGTTAGCATCTACCTCCACATAAAGTTGGATGTCATCTGCGTACATGTGGTGGTCAAGATCGTGACGTCGCATTATGTCGGCAACTGGTGCGGTGTAGGAAGTAAATAGCGAAGACGCTTTGGCTGAGATCTTATGTTGTTAACGATAATTTTTTGCTTCCTACCAGTAAGAGAGGGCTGGAACCAGTCTAGTGCAGCACCATTTACACCGAGTCTAGAAGATAGGCGTTTATAAAAGTAGCACCGACTGATCAATCGTATCGAGCGCTGCGCTCAAATCCAACAGGACTAGGGCAATGGTTCTGTTGTTGTCAATAGAGGAGAAGACATCATTGTATACACGTACTAATGCGGATTCCGTGCTGTGACATTTTCGATAGGCTGGCTGGAATTTAGCCCCTAGACAATTTTCTTCTAGATGATGACAAAACTGTTCAGCTACAACCTTTTCAACCAATTTTGAAATAAATGACATATTGGAGACGGGTTTAAAATTCTTTAAAATGTTAGGGTCAAGTGTTGGTTTTTTTCAGAAGTGGGTTAACTAGTGCAGACTTTAAGGATGTTGAGACCTCAGATGTTGACAGGGATGTATTGACGATCGATGTAATAATATCAGGTAGTAAATCATCTAAACAGATCTTGAGTAGCCAGATTGGAATAGGATCCAAGGAGCAGGATTTGAATGTCGAACAAGAAATCAGTTTCTTTATTTCAGCTTCAGAAACGGGTTGAAAGTGATTGAGTAAGTGCCCAGTAAATGTTTCATCAGGTTGGTTTAAGTCTGGTAATTGGTCATTATCTAGTTCATCTCTAATAGAAGATACCTTTTTGCCGAAGAAATCAGAAAATGTCTGTGTTAATTGTTCAGTGGTCTGGCCAGACAGAAGGTTGGATGAGAGAGTGGACTGCAAAAGTTTATTCCTAATTTTGAAGATTCCTTTTGTATTCAGTTTGTTGTCCTTCTGTAATGTACTAAGAAAGTGTTGTTTTTCGCTGCTGTGACGAGGTTATTGGAGTTTGTTCGAGCAGAGTTGTATATTTGTCGATCAATTTCCAGTTTTGATATTCTCCACTTCTTCTCGGCCTTACGACGTAATCTTTTTGATTGACGGATTTCATGATTGTACCATTCTGTACTGGGTCGTATGGTGATGGTTTTGGTTAAACGTGGGGCATGAATGTTTAATAGGTCTGTTTAAACTCTGTCGTAGGCTTCAACCTGTTCGCTCATGCTATTCTGTTAGGTGACCCCCAGCAGTTGCTCATTTGTTCTCATAGCAGCTGGGAAACCTTCGATGTCCATATTTTTCTTTTGTTTGATATCGAGCTCACAAAAAAATGCTTAAGTGGTAGGAGATTAAATGGTTTACAACTTCTGTTGATTTGATGATGGTGTCAGTTTCTCCTGTAATTACAAGATCTAAGGTATGTTTTTGTGTGTGGGTTGGTTTAGTGATGTGTTGCTGTAGATTAAATGATTCCAATAAATGCAGAAATTTTGAAACATTTTCCCCACTGGGTTATCAACATGGATATTGAAGTCACCTTGTATAATCAGTTTACCAGAATCAATCGCTGTGTCACTTACAAAGCTACAATATTCTGACATGAACAAGTCGAATGTTAACCCATTTGACTTTGATGGCGGAGGGCGGTAAATAGATATAATTAAAAGAGTTTCATTCCGCACTTTAACAGATATTGCCACATGTTCAAAGTTTGTAAATTTTGGTGATGCTACTCTTTTACAGTTAATTGATTTTTTAAAGATATTGATTATACCACCCCCTTTCTAAAGTTTTTATTCATTAATTCGTAATCATAATTATCAGGGATGAGTTGGTTGAGTAAAAAGTCGTCTTTATCTTTTAACCATGTTTCTGTTATTATGAATATGTCCAAATCATTGTCAATAATGTACTCGTACAAATTGTTTATTTTATTTTTAACTGATCTAGAGTTCAGTAAGCATAGAGTTGGTAAAACTTTCCGATGAATGTTCACGAGATCGTTTCAATTTATAGGTTCAGTGTTGGTTTTTGTTGTAAGTACATGTACAGTTTTGATTTTTTTTGGACCACTGCTTTCCACCTCTATACCCCGTTTTAGTAGTATTAGTATGATTTGTAATCACACCAATAGGTACACTAAACTGATCACAATACATTGACCTGGTCATTTTATAGTCTGAGCAGAATTCACAATAACACAAAGAAATTTAGAAAAATGTCAATAACTTTCTAAAACTTAATTTTCTGGCAAAATAAAATAGTCTAGTGGTCCAGCAATAAAAGCTAAAGTTGTATGCTAAAATTCATAAAAGTAATCCAATTGACAATAGAGTAAAACACTAAAAATGTAGAGAAAACATGAAAAACACAGCTGCCACTGAGGCGACCCAACAACATACATATGACAAGTCAAACAATAGCAGCAATACAAGTTGGATAAAAAAAACCCCCACATCTGACCTGTGCAGCGTTTTGATGCGTGCCTCTTTATAACTAGCCGAACAATCTTGGGTTTTTTTTCTTATATAAAATGGCATAAGCTCTCGCACATAGTTGCAAAAGCATCATACAAATAATGAAGGATTGTCAGTTTCGATGGGGTTCTTTCGGAACCTCCTCCTGATGACTAGTCAAACAATTCCTGCAAGTTTGAAAGAAAAATCTGGGTGACAGGGGAATAAATTTGTTCACTAGTTGCAGAAAGTTCGAAATCTTGTTTTATCAAAATGCGATGGCTTTTGTTCTGATGGCTGAAAGAGATATCTCAAAACTCTGTCCCGTAGAGCTTGTGGGCAAGGTTACAGGTGCGTGCATTAAATCATTGCACTAATACTATGATATGCAAAATGTTGAAAAGCGCGGCTTGACATATCCATAATTCATACTTTAGCCTGAACTGAATCCGTCAGTTCATTTTCCGTAATTGGTTTTATGCATCATTCATAAACCTTCTTCGGGAGACTGTTCCAGATGGCATAATCCATCGGATTCAAATCCCATGACTGGCGGTCACCGTTTTGTGTTTTTTTTTAAAGTTTGGGGTGACCTCCTCGATAGATTAATGGATTATGACCTGACCGCTGTAAGACACTATCCTAACAACACATATGTGTTTCAACAGGATGAAAATGATTCCTTTGGCAAACAAAGAAAAATCGCGGTGAAAAATGATTGGTAAGGATTCCAAAATAGCCTTAGACCAGAGGTGCAGCTATATAGGAACTGTCAGCCGGCATCGTCCGTTCAGAGACAGTTCCCAAAGGAACTAGTTTAGGTCTATCGCGGGAAGTCTACCCCACCGATGAAATTATGAATTATGAAATAATGACTTGTAAATATGTTACGTGACTCTGAATTGAATGTCCATTAAAAACAATCTACCCCAGACTTTATTTTTTAATAAGTCCTCCACAGCCCCAGGACCTGAATCCGATGGGTTACGCCATCCGGAACAGTCTATCGGAAATGGTTTATGGTAGGGGGCACGAAATAATTTACGGAAACTGAACTGAAGGATACAATCAGACAAATGGATAGAAAAGAGCTTAGAAAAAATAGAAAATTCTATTTCTGGATGGAAAAGTTGCTTAGGCATTGACCATTTGTTTATGTAAATTGAGGTGAGTGTGACGTGACTTAATCAATCCGGCTAAAATAATTTGACGTTCTTTTTTTAAACTATGGACCTGAGCTATGGACCTGAAACTTGGAGTGAAGTTTTCAAAGGTCCATATTGTGTCACACGGGGAAAGTTAATGATATTGCTAATATACCCTTTGCATTATGCCACTTTAAATAGTGTACTCGTTCTGGACCACCCGATATAGGCCATGAAACTACAAAACATTTGTAATATAATTGTACAAGAGAGTCGAAAAAAAAAATACTGATAAAAGTGCTAATAAAATGGTTAAATTTCCCACGCTTTTAAAAATAAATGAGTCTTAGGGGATTTTCTTTGTAACGATTCAGTCGAGGCAAAGTTTTTACGTGTAATGTGGAACTTTATTCCAAAGCTTTAATTGGGACTTGGTAAGAAAAAGATAGATTTTGGTTACTTTAAGCCATGTAAACTTTTAATAAGCCAGATAGATAGGCATGGACAATATTATGAAAACATTAGCCGAACAATCCAAGCCAAACATGGAAATCTCAAAAACACAAAGAAGGCGCGTTTGTTGCATTTTGGAGGTTAAATATCAGCGGCGTAGCCAACCTGAAAGTAGTAGAATTGGGATCAGATCGCATAATAAGGTATTTGTCGTAGTAGGATGGTTCATCGTTAGTAACATAGGAGATACCCCCCCCCCCCACACACACACACACGCAGAACCGCCCCACTGAATGTCGAGAAATCTTTATATAGCTGAACATCCTAGATTTCTGGAATACATGTATCTTTTGAAGTTGCTGAATATTATCACAATTGGTGATTAATAACAGTGTGTGGTAAATAGCTTTATTTAACGTCCTCTTCCATCGAAGTGATACCGCAGACAAAAAAACAAAACAACAGTACCCAACTACTCTTATATTGGGCGGACAACAATACTTCTGAAACAAGTTCTTCGGAAATTTGGTACACCGAAAGTTAGGAATTGCGATAACTTTATCACATTATCTGCAATGTTCTTCAAAATTATGCTTCACGTTGCTCAGGCGGGGTTTTAATATTTTCTTTGAATTTATGTTTTAGAATCACGCAGGGCCTATAAACACCAGGGTAGTCATGTATTACTCAAACTCATTGAAAACAATAAATTCCCTGTATCTGCAATGACATTTTATTTTAAGAAATACCACGTTGTATTTAAAAATAAGAATGATAAAAATGTAACAAATAATACAGTGCACAATGTATAGTGTAAATATAAAATGTAAACAAAATTAGAATTATGCGTTCATGTAAAAAGAATCCCAATTATTTTCTTGCAGGTTAACTTTACTTCTGTATTTCTTTTAAAATTGTTTTTCACGTTCAATTTGTTCTTCAACCTCGTTTCTTACTTTTGCCTTTACCGCCCTTTTGTCCATCAGACCTGTTTTGATCTCTCTGTCGTCGAGCGTCTCCTTTCTGGTGTTTACCTTTGTTGCTTGGACGTTTATTTTTTCTGTGACCAGCAGCACTCTTTATAGCTCTACCAACAGCTCTGGCAGCTAACCCAACCCATGCGTCAGCCCCTGAGATCAAACTGTAGGAATTCCTTGACAACTGTAAGTTAAAATTTATTTAAATGTTATATTTTTAATAGGTGCGAGACGAATTTTACTAGGGTAACGGCTTATTGAAATTGTATCCAATTTAATCACACTGAATTCCGTACTTGTATCATGTTTTTACTGTAGGTTGAAAACGTGAACGATACTTGTCGAAACATCGTGCTTTTAATAAAATAGTGATTGATATCCCATAAATAATAATATGTGTTCCCCAATCGCTGGGGGTCACGGTGGCTAAGTGGGTAAGACGCTGGCTTGCTAGCCTGGAGGTCGGGTGTTCGATCCCTGCACTGGCCGAGAAAGTTCATCCAGATTTTCCGGCGTGGTTCCCCCTTGTCAGTGATGCAAGACGGAGGGCCTGACAAGGACAGCTGTCTAGTCGTTCGGATGGGACGAAAAACCGAGGTCCTGTGTGCACATTGGCGTGCACGTAAAAGATCCCTTGACAGTAGGCCGTATTGCAGTTGTCCGGGCAAAATTCCCCTCATAGCACACTGTATGACATATGCCCGTCTTTATTAGCCCATTTCCTCAATCGCTAAATGCCACTTATAGATTATGTTCGTGAAGGAACTATAAGAAAACGCACGAAAATTATTCAGTATGCACTAACAAGTATAAAAGTATGGGATATCATGATCGCCAGCTTTATAATAAGTATGATTACACTACCACATTATTAATATTACTAGATATAAATTTTGAATAAAACGTATGATAAAAATTTAAACGTTGTATAATTGGTTCGTTAGGTCACACACACACCAGGACTATTTTTCGTTGTTTTCCTTTTCCGACAAATAGTCATTGACCTTTGGTGAATTATACAGCCCGACACATTGTCCCTTGTAATAATTGCAACTTTAGAAATTGCAAAAGTGTGAGTTATCGAAAAAGGGCTATAAAAAGAGAATAACTTACCTCACTACCTGGAGAAGCCGAGAGAGACTGGAAAAAATGACCCACATCACCGATAACAGAAATGACCACAAGGGACACAAACATGGTTTGATAGACCTTCATTTTTATTTTAGCTTTGTTAACCTGCAATATAGAAATAAAATATTTGACATTATCTATAGAAAATAAAATCAACAACAAATTTATTATCTATAATAATTTTCATGCCAATAGAATGCTTTGTCGCTTTATTCTTGAAAATAAATTGTGTCTTTTTGTCTATTGAAAAATAAATGTGTGGATGGTTAGAAAACATTTTAAAGGTGATTTCGTTTGAAAAACTGAAAAACAAATTCTACATTTGTACTTTTTCGTCTGTCTGTATCAGTGTGTGCAGACAAGTTATTAATAATATCCCTCCGTACAGGACTTCAATCTCGGAATGCAAACATTTGGACGGCTAAATTGATAATTTTCATCGTATATAATATAAAGACAAAGGCAATATACAATCCACAACTAATGTTACTCACCTGCTAATCTTCTTACTCCAGCTTCTGAAACTTGTAATAATGTTGTAAGCTGTTAGTGCTCTTTTTATATAAAATATAAGCCCCTCCCCCATTGAAAAACATCCTGGTTACAGGAGATTAGATCCGGAATAATTAAATAACATTCTCTGGAATTTCCTCACTCAGTCGTACATGCCGTAATTAATAAACGGATACGAATGATAGTATGCGTCTCGGTCAACTTCAAACGGATATGAAATGAAATGGGGTTTAACGTCCTACTGTTCAAACGGATTTGAAAGATAATGTGTAACTTATGTTCAGTCTACTTCAAACTATATATGATATTTCAACACACTAGATTGTTTCACATATTATGAAAGTCGCAAATGTTTTATTTTCATGTAAAGATTGGTTGTATTTATCTAAGACACAGAGAGGTGGCGGTACATAATGAAGTCAAACAACGTAACCTTTTAATGGCCATAACTTAATAAATATATTTTTGGTGTTGAATGTTATAAAACTATATATTTAATCTTTACGGTATTACTCTTGCTCTGGGAGCGGCGGGACGATTTACCCAATATTACCCAATACCACCCAAATACCACTCCAATATCACCACATACTACCCAATACTACAACATAACGGTGCCAAATGAGCATATTACTTGACTTTTTTCAAAAATAGTGAGATACATCGTGGGAAATGTACTTCAAATGTGATTACCGATGTCTGGCTGTTCCATTTGCCTCCCTATTATCACCCAAATCAAGCAAATAATAACCCAATACTACCAAATACTTATCAAATACTACCAATACTACCCAATATTATAAAATACAAACCTAATATCACCAATTAGCAGCACTCCAGTATAATAATTACAGGGGCAAAGCCGGGGCAAAGTCCAAGGTTAAGGGGGCAAATGCAGCCTGGCAGTATTTCAGGCACTGATCGTTGAGTTAAAGTGTCAAACAAAAGCCCACTCACGAGCGTCAAAGTATGGAGTCCTTACGGAGGGTATGGTGGACCCCCACCCCAGAAAATATTGAAAAATAGACTGCCGGAAATGCTGTCAGACAGTATTCAGTCAGGCGCCGATCGTTGAGATAAATAGATCTGACCAGATACCGTCCGTCGCCTGATCACTAGTTTATCCGACCAGAGAACAAAATGTCAAACGAACGGACTTGCGAACCTCAACGAATTCCCCTTATGAGCGCCAAAGTAGCGAGTCCTTGTGGGGGGTATCAGTCTATGACTGAGTGGGGATGTGGGATTTATTCACGGTGGAAAGTATTGATTACCGAAACGTACCACAAATACTTTTTTATTTTCTAAAATTATTGGGAGAGGGGGGCAAACAGAGGGCAGACCAGATTGATTGCCCCCCCCCCCCTTGGGTATAATATGTCAGGAAAGCACACGAATTTATCTTTATATCTGTCTTTTAATGACTTATTAACGCGCCTTCGTTGTCTTTTAAATAATTCCAGTTCCAAATCAGGCGCCTTTGAAAAAAACACTCTTGTATATATCTACAGGTGACGATGTCGCGGCGATGTCATTACCACCTAAATGAATAGACACGGTCACTCCATGTTTAGGGTTTTAAATTGGCATGTTTAATTGGGGCTTTAAATATTTCCCTCATATAAGCGTATTACTGTTAAGCTGCTTTAATTACGAAGGCTAGAAAGTTTCATAGAGACAAGAATTCAATTAAACGTATTATTGCAGCAAAATAACAAAACAATATGCGGCAAAGATCACCATAGACGAAATTTTGTTTGGCCTGGATGAAATTTTTAATAATTATTTAATAATCAATTACACCAATCAGCACATTCAAAATGAATTAAAAGCATATTTTGTTTAAACTTAAAATTACATAAATATTGGAAATAACTTTTCAAGCTCATTTCACTCTTTGATATGGTTTATAATATGTAATTTAAAGTGTTTTCAGTGTCACTGAACTTAAAATTAATCTAATATTAAGTCGTTTATACAACTTTATTATTAAAGCCGCTTGTTCCTTGTTCTCAATAAAGTGTATATAGCTTTTGATGGCTGCTCTGACAGACTGGGTGTGATCTAATTAATTTCGTGTGTGTGAAATAGCACAATTACATGTTATATATACATAGTGAAATAATTACAATGTGATTAGTGGAAAAAGGATAATAGGTTTTTATATATATGTACAGAAGGCAATAGATAACAGGACGAGACGTGAGATAATAGGTGCAAAGTATTAAGGAGTGACCGTAGACATTGACAAACAGGCGAATTTGTGACAAAACAGACATGAATATGGACGAACATTTAGACAAGCATAAACAGACAGACACGCAATACGGACATTTGACAAAACAGACATAAATTTGGACGAACATTTAGACATAGTATGTACATATATATATATATATATCCAAAATTAATTGCACAACCGCAAAGCTGCACTACTTTGTTTCACGGTAAATGATGAAAAGATAAAAAAAGGTATGCCGACACAAACTGATTTCAGCACTGGTTTAATAACATTTTAAAGTACTTTTCGTCCGTCTTGGGACTATTCATAAATAATGTCATTGTATAAAGATGGACAGTATAGTATATTTATACATATTTACATAGTAACACTGTGATTTTAATTGGCTATAGTTACCATATTGTCTATGTATTGTTTAATGGTCGAGAGCGAGACATTAAGTAATATATTGTAACAAGAGGACCGTCAGGTCCGGGTGTTTTTACAATATATTACGCAATGTCTCAGCTCGAGACCATTAAACATCTTAAAATACAATAATACGTGCGTTTACAGTGAAATACGTCACTCGAGTCTAATATTTGACAAGGTACGATTGGCAAGTTGCCCGTACGATTATTTGAAATAATGGTACGCCAACATCAAAGGGTGACGTCACATCTGTATTTTAAGGTTACATAGTATACTATTCAAAAAAAGTAGGGGATATTTGATTTTGGGGGTATAATACTAAAATATGCAAATGACTACGAAAAAAGTCACTATAGAACCTAACAGAAGAAACATTTCCAGTTACATGTGACGCCCAAACGCACCAATAGCTACCGCATGGAATGCAGGTGATGCTTGGGATCATCATGGGGGTCCAACCCAAGATTTGCACGACTCTGACTTTGAATGTTACAGTCATTGTGGCATTGAATTCCAGGGTGGAAACATCAGTTTAATGGTTTTAGTGACCAGAAAACAAATTTTGATATGCGTCGGCTTACCCAAAATGAAAGGTTACGTGCCCTTGGCATGCTACAGATCGGCACAACACAGGCGGTTGTGGCGCGGACGATGAATGTTTCTCAGTCTGTCATAAGCAGGCTATGGTCCAGATACCGTGATACACAATCTGTACAGGACAGACCACGCTCAGGTCGACCAAGGGCGACAACTCAAGCCCAGGATCGATTTATCCGTACCTTGGCCTTGAGAAATCGTGTCATCACAGCAAATCAGATCAGCGCTCGTCTTCAAACAGACACTGGTGTGAGAGTGAGTGGCCAGACGATTCGGAATCGACTGCATAGGGGTCACCTTCGCGCCCGACGTCCTCGCGTGATCCCATGTTTGAGAGATCATCACATTCAGGCAAGACGTCGTTGGTGTAGGGATCGTCAACACTGGGATAATCGACGCTGGAGCAATGTGATGTTTTCAGATGAGTCAAGGTTCACTGTTGATTTTTTGGACAGACGTAGGAGGGTGTGGCGTCGTCGAAACGAGCGCTTCCAAGACGTTAACGTCATCAGACATGATCGATTTGGGGGTGGTTCTGTTATGGTGTGGGGAGGCATCACTGTTGCTGGAAGAACGGCTTTACATGTTGTTGCAGGGCGTGTTACAGGCCAGTACTACCGGGACAACATCTTGGCAGTTCATGTTGTGCCGTTCGCACGACGTCATGGCCGCCGATTCATCTTCCAGGATGACAACGCAAGATGTCACAGGGCCAGGATCGTTACAGGTTACCTCCAACAACAGAACATCACCACATTACCTTGGCCAGCACTGAGTCCCGACCTCTCCCCCATCGAGCATGTCTGGGACATGCTTGGACAGAGGTTACGTCAACGTCAACAACGTCCTGCCAATGTCCAAGAACTTGCTGCTGCGTTGCAACAGGAATGGGACAATCTGGACCAAAATGAACTTAGACGTCTCATTAGGAGTATGCCACGTCGGATCAATGCTTGTTTGGCAAACAGAGGAGGATTTACCCGTTACTGACTTGGTTGTGATGCTGTGGTAACTTTGCTGTTTGACCCCGGGTATCATTTTACCCTTATAATGGTCAGTCTGTGCCTTACTTAGTCTAACGATCATTTGGAATAAATCGATGAATGTGAACTTCATTTCATTTTGTCATTTGTTTCTTCGTCAGTTTCATTAGGTGACTTTAATAACACTTAAAAATCAAATATCCCCTACTTTTTTTGAATAGTATATATCGTTAACTAATAGAAACATGTATACACATGTGTTAATCTGTAGTATATGGGGTTCAATTTATGAACAATGAGTTTAAGATAATCATGGGATAGGTTTAAGAAAATTAATGAAGCTAATGGCCAATTGTTACTTATTGACTATTAAGTCGAGGAACATATTTTTTAATAAAATGGTTTTCCATTAATTTCCTTTTCGTGGTGTCATCGACTTTCATTTTATAAAAAGGGAAAATTTTGAATTTTACTTGTAGGTGTTGTGCACATTTAAAAATATGTCTATTTACAAATAAGGGCCCATTTTCAATATTACAATCCCGTCGATGGTTGCGTACTCGATCCCGTAGATGCGTGGACGTCTCCCCTATGTAAAAATTTAGACACCCATTGCAAGTCAAGACATATGAGATTTTTTGTGTCACAATTCATATTGTCGTTGACACTAAATGTAAACTTAGGAAAATTATATTTGCTATTTGGCGTAATATGGTCGCAACATTTACATCGAAGATCCGGGCATTTAGATACATAAAAGCCGGTCCTTGTGATAGATGAATTGAATTTTGCTTTGGTTAGGAGACGCTTCAGATTAGGTGGCTGTCTTTGTGATTTAATGAATTGAACCTTATCAAATTTAATTCTGAGGTTGTCGTTTGATGCCAGGATTGCCCTACTCTCGT